CGTACCCCACAACCACTTCCCGTCCGCAATGAAAGCCGACATCTGAGCCAGCACATCTTGATGAACAGCTACGCCGCCCACCTTGGTTTTCATGAAGGATAATGAATGAAAAATAAAATGAAGGTGTGCATTCTTTACCCTTCTTACTGTGGCGTTTTTCTTTGTATGTCTAGGTGATAGAAATCTCGCATGTGTTTTCTCTAATGGAATAAACAAGCGTACACTTCGCTCCTTTGCTCTATTTCGTTGGACTAAACACAAATGCGAACCCTGCACAACAATTAATTCATCATCTTGGTGCTTTGTACTTGGTTCGCTGAAACCCGTCAACTCCGCTCACTAACGTGGAAAAGAGACTTCGCATCCACAAACTGTCAACCTCTTGCGGTGTCGATTGGAAGGTCTACCCAGCCACTTTGGGACTTGATTCCTTGTGCCACAAGAGCAAGCTAACAGAAGATATGCAATGACACAGGCGAAACAAGGAGAAGCGCGCTGTTCATCTCTTTCAGTACATGAAAGTTAGCTCTTTGGGGGTCTTTGTGGCGTTTTCTGTAATTAAAAGAATGAAGCATGCATTCACGCACTCTATTCCTTTCTTTACCTTCACGTGAAATAGGTGATAGAATATAATATTAACCTGTGATTCCAGTTCATCCCCTACCATGAAATTCTAGGTGCTTCCAAGCTTCCTAGTGACTGGGCAGTAGTGACCCAAAGGATACAGCCGCCATGTCAGATGAAGGGAGAAAAAAACCAGGTTCGTTCATATTTTGGTTCGGCTCGACCCGGCCCCTGCGTTTTAGCATTTTATACATATTACCAAGTACGCGACATCGAGTCGGACGTGCATAGGGACGTGTTCCATGGGCGAGGGTGAAGGGTTCATAGTTCAGGGTTGAGGTTTAGAGAAAACCAAAATCAAACGAACCAAAAAAAAACAAAACCAAAAGAACCAAAAAAACAAAACCAAAAGAACCAAAAAAAACAAAACCAAAAGAACCAAAAAAGACAAAAAAAAAACATTTCCAAGACAGCCTTGTGACGAAAATTCCTGGAGAATGTTTTTTTGGTTTTTTTTGTTCTTTTGGTTTTGGCTTTTTGGTTCTTTCTGTTTTGTTGTTTTTGGTTCTTTTGGTTTTGGTTTTTTTGGTTCTTTTGGTTTTGGTTTTTCGTGCCATTTTGGTTTTGGTTTGTGCTTCTTTTGGCTTGATAATTTCGTGTGCCTTAGCTTTTGGTTTGCTTCTTCTGTCTGGTGTTTGTATTGTGGATACACGTCTATTGAACGGCCTGTGATCGTTTCAGCTCTTTGTGGTCACAGGTCAACGTAAAAACGTTGGTGCCGTTAGTGCCATGTCGCGTCGCGAGCTTCCACTAGATGTGCAGCAGATGCTGGGGAATCCCAAAATCCAAACTTCGCTCCACCATCTCCTCGAAAATATTGGATTTTTTAGATTTTTGGATTCACAGGGAATTGTCACTGTTGCATGGATATATTACGCTACTCTTCGCTGACGCTGTTTCCACGTTGTCTGTGCGCGTACTGATATCAGATCTTGCGGACGATGATTTCGTTGATGTAGTTCCAATCTTAATGTTTATTACTGTTAATGGTATTTTGAGTAGTCTTAATTCTTGTATCAGTGTTAGTGTTAGTGTTAGTATTTGTCTACTGTTAACATTAATCTGGGTACTATCATTAGTATTAATAGTCACTATAAATATCAGCACTGGTATTCATAATTCTTGTTAGTGCCAGATGCAATGTCAGTGTGAGTATTAGTATTTGTATAATTTGTATTAGTATTAGTCTGAGTATACATCTTAGAATTTGTACTACTAATACTCGTATTTGTATTAGTATCCGTATT